CGCAATCTGAGGGGCGGTGCCCGCCCTAGATTTCTCCACGTCGGGAAAGGCGTGCTGGTTCTGCCTCACAGCCCGGCGGAACTGGCGCTGAGCAGACGCGCGTCTCTTTCCCCATTGCCTAGTCTGGGTAAAGCACTGGACATGTTTGCCCCTTACCGGCCACCGTATAGACCTTTCTGCACTTGGACCCCACTGGAGTGAGACTGCGCGGCTATTTAACTGACGGGTTGGGATTTGTGTGTGGGAGTGAGGGCTGTCTTTTGTTTTTTGGCTTTTTTAACCTCAAACACGCTCCAGGTGTTAGCCAAGCCACGCCCTCCCCCTGTCCTTGAAAGGCCGGGAACGAGGTGGCCCCGTGGCGATCACGTGACACCGTGGTGGCCACGTGACACCGGCGTCCAGCGTCTTCTCGCTAGGCAACCATCCTAGAGCCTGACCCCGCTGCTGCAACATGAACATGATCTACCAACTGGCGGTGCCCAAGGGGCGCCGGATCTGCTGTGAAGTGTGCGAAGCTCCAGCCGAGCGGGTGTGCGCGGCCTGCACAGTCACTTATTACTGGTAGGCCCTGAAATGTGGCTCCTAGGCGCCCCGATGCCCTCTCCCCCAATCACCCCCCTGGGCCTGGGTGCGTCGAGGCGGTTCCAAGACAGGTCTCTAAGACTTCGGTGCCTCGTTTTCATCCTCTTCTACTCCATCATTCACCAGCAGATGTTTTGTTGAGCGCCTACTGTGCGCTATGCACTGTTCTGCGTGCTGAAGTCACTGAGGGAACTTGGCAGACCTTGTCCCTCAAAGGGCTAGTGACATTTTCACTGCGACCTACCGATATGTAAACAAACAAAACAAGATGGTTTCCCAGAGTGATAAATGTCATAAAGTCAAAGGAAAGGCGATGGGAGGTTGGGCAGATTGCCTCTCTGAGGGCAGACCCTTGATCTGAAAGTAAAGTAGGAGCAGCCTGCCATGGAAATGGCTGGGGGAAGAGTGGAACAGTAAGGCCCTGAGGGAGGGAAGAATTGGCCGTGTTTGAGGAATAGAAAGAAGGCTATTTGGCCCTGGCGGGTGTGGCTCTGTTGGTTAAGCGTCCTCTCATGCACCCAGAGGTCACCAATGCGATTCCCTGGCAGAACACATGCCCAAGTTGCTGCCTCCATCCTGTGGGGGGCGTGCAGGAGGCAGCCCATGGATGTTTCTCTCCCACCCATGTTTCTCTCTCCCTCTCCCTTCCTCTCTAAAATCATTACAAACATATTTTTAAAAAGAAAAAGGCAGAAAGCAGGCTATTTGGTGCACAGCCAGCATGGTAAGGGTATGGGGAGGGTGGTACTGGATGAGATCAGTTTTCAATTATTCAGTGTAACATCCTTTGACCTTTGCTTTAGAGGAGACCCTATTTTGGGCCTGAGATAAAACAACTAGGTTGCTGACTTCCAGAAACCTAGGTCAGAGCAGACGAACTTGTTTAAAAAAGAAAGTCATTCTGATACAAGTGTTGTCACTCAAGGTGTGCTCTTCCCTGGGACTTCTAAGGATGGAGGCAGTGATTGGGGTAGTATCTGGAAAGGTTCTCTGAAGAAGTAACATTTGAGCCGAGTCTTGAAATTTTAGTAGGAAATTGCTAGGTGAATGAACAGTGAAGAAGGACGTGTAGGACGCTGACATCCAGGACTGCCTGGGTGAAGGGTGAAAGAACAGAGTTTATTGAGAGCTGGGTAAATAAGGTAGTAGTGGAGGGAGCAATCACTGATTTTTAAATTGCGGTCCATGACCCTTTAGCAGATTATGAGTAAGTCCCAACCAGCATTTTAAGAAAATAATAGAATAAAAATCATTAGAGTGATCCTACTTGAACTGTCTCTTGAAACTTTTAGTGTTTTTATGTGGATATGTGTGTTTGTACTGGAAAGATAGATGGAACACTATCAACATTAAGAACTTTTATGCATCAGAAAACACTAAGAAAAAGGGGGAAAGAGCCTACAGAATGAGAAAAAAATATTTGCAAGTCTGATAAGGACCTGGTATCCACAACACATAAAGAACTCTTAAAACTCAACAATAAGAAGACAAAAGACCCTGTTAAAAAGATTTTTAATCTAATCAGCAGGTGAGTAGATTAAAAAACTGTGGTATCATGCTGCTGTAAAAAAGAAGGAACTCTTACCATTTGCAACAGCATGGATGGACCTGGAGAGCATTATGCTAAGTGAAATAAGCCAGTTGGAGAAAGATAAATACCACATGATCTCACTCATTTGTGGAATATAATGAACAACATAAACTGATGAACAAAAATAGATCCAGAGACAAGATCAACGAAAGGACTTGTATGCATGCATATACTAGTAAGCATAACTCATGGGCACAGGCAGTAGGAGGGTGAGGGCATGTGCTGGGGGGTGGGAATGGCCAGGGAGAGGTCAATGGGGGAAAAATGAGACATATGTAATACTTTAAACAATAATTTTTTAAAAAAGTATATGGTCTCTGTTGCAACTACCCAACTTTGCTATTATAGCACAAAGGCAGTCACAGACAAAAATACATAGCACTCTCTCTTCTTCCTTCCTCCTGAGACAACAGAAATACAATAAAGTAGTTTCTTTATAAACTGGGACTGTTATCCTCGAAATGACATTAAGCATTTTAAAGGGTTTTTGGGTAGATAATTATTGTAAATCAATCAATAAAAGCACTTAACAGTCAGGATACAGAGTTGGGTCCACAGGGTATTAAATAGGGGCTTGTTGAGTAATTGTGTGACTAATGAAAATATTAACTTACTTAGCTACCCGAACTTTTGTTCCACTGAGAGTATTTGCTATATCTTGCCTTTCTAAATAAAGTGACCTTCATTTAAATATTTGTGAGCTCTCTCCTTATCTATTTCTCTACCCCCTCCAATGCAGGGACATGCATAAAAGAGGAATTGACTGGAAAAAAATTTTCATAGGGTTCACAGTCAAAGAGCTGGTGAGCTACACAGGTTTTGTTTGGCCATTAACATGTTTTTAAACTGAATTTGAATGTCTTTAGGCAGAGCATTCATTCTCCAGTTAACCCCAGATCCTATTGCTTCCTACTATTGAATATCACTTTACTGTTTGTTTTCCAAATCTTAGCTATGGTAAATTGTGCTGCTATGAACATAGGGGTGAGACCATATACTTTTTAAAGCCTCAAGTATTTACTCTCTGGCCTTTTATAGAAAACTTTGCTGATCCTGCCCTATATTATTGTTATCTATTTTGGATCATTGTTACCTATTTGTATAAATGGAACCAAACAGTTAATATTCTCATATTTAGGTAAAAATGTGTCCTAGGCAATAGAAATGCATTATATGCACATAATAACAGTCTTAAAATATCTGAAACAGTTATATGACAATTATAATTCAGCTTTCTTTTTCTTAAAAAGGTGAATGTGAAAAAAAAGCAATAACTGTGAGAATTAAATGGGGAAATAAATAATTCAGTGATAATACTTAGACACTTCAGTATCCCACTTTCAATAATGAATAGAACAACTAGACCAAAGATCAGCAAGGAAATATAAACCTTGAACAATGGTATAAACTAACTAGACCTAACAGACATCTATAGAACACCATCCAACAACAACAGAATGCACATTCTTCTCAAGTGCATATAGAACGTTATCCAGGATAGACCATATGTTAGAGCATGAAAACAATTTTCAAATTTACAAGGATTGAAATACTACAAGGTATATTCTTCAAATGTTACAGTCATATCTAGCTAGCTAATATTAACAATAAGAAAGGAACAAAGGAGCCCTAACCGGTTTGGCTCAGTGGATAGAGCGTCAGCCTGTGGACTGAAAGTTCCCAGGTTCGATTCCGGCCAAGGGCATGTACCTTGGTTGCGGGCACATCCCCAGTAGGAGGTGTGCAAGAGGCAGCTGATCGATGTTTCTCTCTCATCGATGTTTCTAACTCTCTACCCCTCTCTCTTCCTCTCTGTAAAAAATCAATAAAATATATATTAAAAAAAAAAGAAAGGAGCAAAGGAGAGGCCAGACATTGTAAGCACAGTTGTCTGGGCAGCTTCACCAGGAAGCTGCAATTTTACACTCCCCAGGGAACTACTGGTCCATTCCCTGTAAATCACTGGGGAAAGAGTCCAACAAAGGGAGAAATCCTCACATGTGCAGCGAAGTCAGGGTGACATAAGGAAGGTGTCTGTCAGTCTAACCTGGGAACAAAGATCATTGGCTAGGAGGGTGGACCCAATGCAAGCCTGTGACAATTTGGGAATACATGATCCCCAAAGGAATTCTTTTTCTTGTTCCTCTTGCTTCACCCCTGCGTCCTTGCACTCGCCTATGCTCCCTCTATAGCCATGTGGCCCTAGAAGTGGGCCTACGCCATCAGTCGGACATCCCCTGAGGGATCCCGGCCTGCGAGAGGGCACATGCCAAGCTGAAGGACACTCCCTCACCCCCAGTGCATGAATTTTCATGCACTGGGCCTCTAAAA